CCGACACGCACTTTGGGGTGGACAGGGTGATGACTTTAGCTCGGTGACCGAGCCCTGGCAGCACAGGACAAAGCGACTCAGCGAGGGCACCCAGCAAGGGGGACCCACGCTGCCTGGACACGGGGCACCCCGGGACCCCGGGCGCAGCAGCTGCAGCGGTGATGAGGATGAAGGAGATGATGGCTCCAGGGTGCTCAGCAGGTCCCTCCCTCCCTCCCTGCAGCTCAGAGCTCGGGGGTGAAGCATCTACTCTACACCACTGCCCGAGGTGGGGCCTGTGTGAGGCCCCGGAGGCAGCGATTCCCTCACACGTCCTCACCTCCACGGCTAATAGAACCAGGCCCATCGTCCTTCCCTCCCATCACCTGCTTCATGAGCGATCCCAGCTTAGGCTGCCTCTTGTCGGAGTGATCTGTAGCACCAACAGAACATCAGCTCTTGGCCTCCTTGGGCTGCTCCGGGGTTCTCCCACCTCACCCTCCCAGCACTGCTCGGGGAAGGGACCAGGGGAAGCAGCACAAGCAGGCACGCCAGGGCCGGGACCAGGAGCCCAGCATGCAGGGACACCTTCCAGCAGGAGCCACACCACAGCACCCGCTGCAGCAGCACAAAAGGGGGTTCAATCCTCCTGCAGCTCTGCTTCGCATTGGGGGTCACCCAGGCACTGCCACAGCCCTGCAGCACCTGCTCTGAGCTCCATCACCACTGTGCCAGGTCACTCCTGTCACCCCACCGCTGGCCTGACCCCCCTCCTTCAGCCACAGCTCTGGGCATGTCCCCCATGCCAGGAGGGGCTTTTGGCACACCCTGTCTCGCCAGGCTGTAGGGAGCCCCTGGCTGGTTCCCCCAAGGTCCCTCTGGCCCCTGGTGAGCTCTGCAGCAGTGATGGGGTGGAATGGTTGGGACAGAGAATGAATGACACTGGAGTGGGACAATGATGGCAGCTCTGCCGCAGCTGGAATGGGCAGGATGCTCAGAGAGTAAAGGAGGCAGAGACTTACCGAGGCTTCCCATGACAGCATCGGGTGCCGACGGTGCTGAGAGCTCAGCTGGCAGGGTCTGTCCCCACCAGGTCCTCAGTGAGCAGCCAGATACAGTGCTCACAGGTCCCAGGCCACTGGGGTTCCCAAAACCCACCCCAACCCCAGCCACAGAGACCCAGCTGGAGCCAGGAGCTCTGGAGCAGCCTCTGCTGCCTCCTCTGAGGTGGGACATGGGGCCCAGCAGCTCACCCGGTGCCCAGGCTGTGGGATGGACACCACGACCCACGGCTGCAGCTCTGGGGCACAAGCACGACCCCTCCTGTGTCCCTGTCCCTGAGCTCCTCACCTGAGCTGCTCATGTGCGCCGAGGTGAAGCCGCTGAGTGTGTTGCGCCCGCTGGCGTCGGCGTAGTGTGGCATGGAGTTAATGACAGCCTGCAGGTACTTCTCCTGCTCCAGGCTGGTGGAGTCTGCCTGCGAGGGGCCTGGGGGAGAGGCACCAGCACCACTGTGAGACACGGGGAGGGCTCTGCAGCACGGCCCCAGCACGGGCAATGCCCTGGGTGTGGAGGGGACAGAGGGGACAAAGGGGAC